TTAGGGTCTACTAGCTGATTTATTTATAGTTAGCCCCGAAGAAGTAAGGGAAGATATCGTGCCTCCTATAGTACTCTATTAGCTACGTGACAATCTAACGATTACTACGAATAGATAGAATTTCCTTTAGGATCAACGGAATTAGACAATCCTCCTAAGGAAGAAGACGTAGTTACTACAACGGGTACTCTATTTAGACCGGCTCCGGGAGACGTACATTACTATAGATCGATTCAACAAGGTGAAGTAGGATAAGGCGGCGATACGGGTATACTATACAAAAGTTAAGGCGTTTCTTAATAGCCTTCTACTTCTCGTCTATCTTATATCTAGCTAGCCGGCACGGGGAACGGAGATTATAAATCTGCTTTATACTAATACAATATACTATCGTAATCTATTTATTGAAGACGGCCTGATCGGGTTAGTTACATCGTACTACAAGGGCTATATATACACCGGGACAACCAAAATTATACATCGTTATCTCCTAAAGGAAGTTAGCGAGCTTGTCGTCTATTATATGTAGATCGTTCATCCCTTTATCGAGGAGCTTAGTACGCTTTCTCCGAATGTAACGGTTCACAGTTTACCGTATCTTTTCGCAGATAGTAGAGGTGCCGGAGATAGCTAGCGATTGTCTACTATCCTAAAGCGCGAGACTACGATCGCGTTTAACATTCCGATAACTATCCCGATATATCGGCACGTTGCGATTGCGATGTCTCGTCGATATACAAGCAATAGTGGGTTTAAGAGAGACTACGACGTCGGCGACAAAGCTATAGATCTTTAGACGACACATACATCGTAGACGGCAGGCCGACTATACGCCCGTAGGCTCGAGGAAGCACCTAGCTACGTTAAAGCAAGGAGGCCGAATATCGAGTAGTAAGCCGAAAGTGGCATATATTCCTAGGCTTCGCCGGATCTGTTAGTACATAGAAGAGGGCTCTCTAAGAGAATCCCAACTATACAAACTTGAAGAGGGCGAGGAAGGAGGAAACGGCATTTACATTTGACCTTATAGAGTAATTACACAGCCGCGTAGAGGCCTGATCCCTGAAGTAGGCACAACGGACTCGATTTTATTAATATAAGGTGTAGGTAATCCGAATGCCTGTAGGAGACGAAGGAAGCAAGAGTCGATTCCTTTGCTCTACTTGAGTTGATTCCTTTGCTTAAATGAACTCGAAATCGGCCAAATCTTGAATATAGGGTTGTTGAAGATACGTTCTCGATGCATGCGAAATTCTGGATGAATATGTGATACTATGGTGCGACGGTGAAACAGTGATATCTACGCCTTTCAGTCCGATCAGGCGTCGAATACTAGGGCATACCACACAAAAACCCTTGCAACCTCCCTTTGCAACCTCTATTCATAGGTGTGTTCGTTCGCCTCCTAATGTACGGGTACACACAGACAGGCAAGTGAATATACCACATAGTCCTCGCTCTCGTCTTCCTCTAAGCACAAGATTGCAATCACTTCTATAAGAGAGAAGTTCAAAAAGCGGGCGTGTCTGCACGTAGAGCAGTTACGTAGCAACTAAATTCCGCACAAAGATGGACGAACTTTGTCGCCGTTTTGAAGTCAACTATAACCATCGCCTCCTTGTATGTCTGGGTTGCTAATACGCCGTGATACCTTCCTAGATCAGAACACATTTGCAGATCTACCACAAGCGTGTTAGTCTTCAGCTACGGAACGATATCGTGTCAGAGGTCGAAGCCACGACCGAGCTCGCAAGAACCCACGCAGAAGTCATCTACCCAGCTCCTACCGACCCCCCTATAGCTAGCCTGCCCACCTACTTCGACGGGCTGAAGTGCCACGGACAAGGAAGTCAAGGCGTCGTTTGCTCTTATGTATGTCGTACGCCGCGCGGGATCCGCGAGCACTGCCATAAGAACCACGGCTGGGTGAACCAGCAAAAGCGAGGGGGCGACGTTCGATCGAAGCAAACGCACGCAGGCAATGAGATCTGGACAAAATATCACGCCTGTCAGCGGTTTTTGAAAGCCACAAGCTGGCAGTGGTACTTCGAAGTAGCAAGGCGAGATGTGCAAGGCGACGTGCGACAGACGAATTAGCAGCTTGAATTTTTCCGAGCCCTAGAAGGCGATGTCGAACAGGCAGAGCGCGATGCTGCCGATGATGCCAACCGGGTTCACAGTTTCGACGAACACCGCTCCGCCGTAGTACCTTGGTTGAGGGAGACAGGCAGCGTCGACCATGTACGTGGTCTTGAAAAGGACGATATTCGAACAGCGATCGCCGTGCCTCCACCAGGAGACGAGAGCGATCTTCGGACGATCATCGACGCGACGGAATCACTGTTACGAGACGCTCACTGCCTGTGTTTCGACGGGTCTGAATGCGTGCTGACATACCAATGTCGAGTCGTCCTCGGCCGCCTTCCAGCCATCGCAAGTCGACTTACAAGGCAAAACCAGACCATGTAATCCCTACATGTCCCGGTGTTTCCGCACGCCTCCGCGTGTGCATCGGACTGATGCATGGTTGACATCATAATGCTTTTGCATGTACTCGGCAGCCTTGCACACAAAGTGGCAGTAGTTGCAGCCGAACCCATGGTATACATGGAGCCCAGGGAGCGCATCACAATCAAACACTGGCAGTACTACTTGCTCTTTCCGCGGATCTAGGAGCGGCCGGTCGAGCGCAGCAGATAATTCCTCGTCAGCAAAGAGCCGAACGTCCTTGTTTGTGCGCAAGTCTGGCGATTGGCCCACCTGCATCTTGCAGAGATGTGGGTAGAGCCAGCACGGTGCAACCGCTATCCCACACGGTTTGCAGACGAGAACGCGGTAATCGGGAAGGTGTTCCAGAGTTTCCATGATGACGAACGATAGACGGCAACGGCAACATCTCTGGGAGAATGTGATATTGTCTGGGTATGCGAGCGAATTGTCGTCCGGTGGTCCGAACACGCTCTGAAGACGACGCGCATCATCGACGCGAGGCGCGTAATGATCGCGTTTATCTCGCTGAATCGATGAGTGACATAGACTAGCGCGTCTCGGGGTGGCGCGGCCAAATCATGCTGTGATTGGGCAATCAAAGAAACCGTCAACGAATCGTCTGATCCTAGGTCTGCAGTATAGATGTTGCGATCCTACAAGGTAGTATCACGTGAGTGCTTCTTTGAAGAGTAGTTGGCAATGGGTGTTGGGTAAGATAACTCAGTCTGATTGGTTGTTGTGACCTTTCAGTAAGATTGTAACATGAGTTGAACACAGGAATATCAAGGACATCCTGAGTCCCTATATAATAAGGAGAGTATCCGAAATGGGAAGTATGCTGTGCGGTTTTATACAAGCTCTCCAAGACATCAGAGGATGCGCTAGGCAGCTATAGAAGCCAGCACGTTGAACAACGTACTATCTTCGACGCGACACTCCCCGGAGGCCTCGCAAGACGGCCTCATCCCACCCTTGAGACTCCTCTGCAGTTCGGCAGTGGAGAGGCCTTTGCGATTGTATCGAAACAGCAGCGATAGTGCGGTCGAACATGGTATTAGGTACTCCTTGGGTTGGAGCTGTACGATTGTGTCCAGGAAGCAGCGTTCAACGCTCGGATCTAGAGCTAGCCCGTCTTCCTTCGGCTGGGCGGTATTTTGATCACGGCCAGCTCCAAGATCATCAACTGTGATGTCTGACCTGGTATTGGAAGGTATGATAGGCCTTTGAGGCGCCACAGAGAGCGCACTGTCGGGTAAAAATCCGAGGAAGTCGTTGTGTGGCTCTCTGTGAGTCATCAAGTCGCCCAGCGTGTTGTCGGAAAGTGGTGGCCAACTGATGTCGGCGGCTAGCAGCCAGTCTTGCATCTAATCTCATTTAGCGACAGTGATCTCAACGTGGTCGTTGGAGCTTGCTTACATCTAGGTCTGGGACATTTGCTTGCTGAACCATTGGACGATCCACCCGGGGTGAGACCGTTTTAAGAGCATCAGCAGTCGCTGGCTCAACTACCTTCGGCTCGCCACGGTTAGTGTGAGATCCCAAGAGTGGCGCGCTGGAGTACGCTGCAGTTGATGGTAGAATAGCAGTGTGCTGGGTGCTTGGGAATTGTGGAGAGTTGATGTTGGTTCGGTGCTGGTTTAAGATGGCATCCACAGACCGACGTTTGTCCGCGGAGTGAATAAAACGCTGTTGGGTTTCATCGTCGAAGCCGATTGCAGTGAGAAGGTCACGTCGTGCTGCGTTCTCCCGCTGAGCCGTCTCAAGGGTGCTCTCCGGCTTGCTTAAACGATCTGGTGCTTCGCAAGCCTCGCATTGCTGTATCTTTGCTCGGAGAGCCTCGATCTGGCTCTCAAGCTCCTCAACATGGGCACGTTTGCGGGCGCGACAGCGCTGCTGGTTACGACGAACGCGCGCAAGGTGCTCGGACTGAGAAGTGATCAGATGCTGGTGTATCCTCGACATACAGGATGTTCACCTTGGATGTGGGGTGGCTTGAAGACGGTACCCTGTCGTCGATGTTGTGGTCCATCCATGGCGAGTCCTCAGACGTCGCCGACATCCTGCAATTTACTTTCTAATGTCTGGATGTGGGTGTGTAGAAGGGCAAGCGAGCGAGGCGAGGCACTTGGGGTGGCAAGTGGAGAAGACTTCAACAAGTCGGCGGACCCGGGACCGAAACCGAGAATGTCACCGTCACAAGCTGATTGGATAGCTTGATGGGAAGGATCCGACAAAGGGCGATGCAAATTCCTGTCTCCAAACCTATCACTCCATCTATCCAGCCATACCTGCTTTTGGAGCGACCTCGGTTGAACAGTGTCAGCGTGCGGCCTACCCTATGGCCATACTGACTCGTCGTAGCCCTCCATCAACCGCACGTGCTCGCCTCCGCTGGCTGCCCACGCGTTGACACCCCCAGTGAGAACCAGGCTCATCATCTCGGAGTCATGCTGCTCAGCGAGATAATCCCCAAACCACCCGGCAGCCCTGGCGCCTCTGTGACACGACGACCCTAGCAGATATCAGCAGAAAGCCATCGTTGGGTTCGTAGTGTCACTTACCGCAGTACCAAATTACCCGTCGCACACCGGCGGCCTTGAAGATGCTATATAGTGCCGGAATGCTCGGCCAGAGGCTCTGTGCTGGAAGGTTGATAGAGCCGGAGATGGTGCCACCCTTGAGACTGTTAGAGGGAGATGACAACAACAAGATTTTTCTCGCTTGCCTTATGGTCATCACGCCGCAAGTCCACAAGCACATACTTTTCGCTCGGTGGGTGACTCTTCAACAGCTGCAGCACTGACTTCTGGTCGATGGCCTTGGGATCGTCACGCGGTTTCGGGAATGCGGCATACCACGGGACCTCGGCGACATCGTGGACACCATTAACCAACGCGCCTTGCGTACTAGCTGAGCTTGCCGTGTGGTCAGTCATGCTGTTCCGGGCAGGAATTTGGCCTTTCAAGAGCCAGGCTAATCTCGGTGTCGAAGCGTAGGCGAGTGTAGGCCGCCTGACAAGTGCGAACCTCACAATTTGTCTACAGCCTGCCATGGCCGGTTAGCGACGGCCCAAGAGCGACTGGAGATCTCGGGCTCACGTCTTGGGTCACGTATACCACGTTCGGTTGATCGTTTGCGAGAGGCTGATTCGACTTCTAATTGCTGTGCTGGCCAACCGGTTCTGCCACCAATAAGACGACTGGAGACTTCGTGATGACATGCGATGTTTTAAAGTCAGGTTGATGTCCGTTCGACAGCGATTGCTGCGCAAATTCTCGCCTCGATCGGTCACCGTCTGCACGAGAATGTCACTAATCGCCGGTGACAAACCGCTTCGCAATGTCATCGATATGTCATCCTCCCGGTGCATGTCACTGACCGCAGGCCCTGCCTTGCGCTACTGACATGCTTAGATCCTTGCTTGGGCATCTTGTTGAGCTTACGTGGTCAACGGCAGCTTGGCATGCTTGTTTTCACCACGCAACACCGCAGTCAACTGTCTCGAGGTACAGCACTCCACGCACGAACAGCTGCGTGTGACAACGTGCTATGACAGGCAATTCTGATTCGTGTCAGATGTGGTAGACGTCACATGGCTTACATTGGTGGCGAATGCTTCATTGCAAAGTGATATGAACCCGCAATGCACTCACAAGACGGACATTGTAGCTCTTTGTTACCTTCGTCTTAAGTAGGGCTCTCAATTACAGCAGCAATGTCTAAGTTCTCATGGTGGTCCAGCAAAGAGGATGCTTCTCCATCCAGCTCCGCTGAGATGGTCTACAGCAGCCGCGGACCTAGAGAGATAGACGATGCGCCAGTTGGGAAAGCGCACATTCGCGCTGTGGTTGTCGCTGGGACCGGCTTCTTCACTGACGCCTACGATCTCTTCAGCGCGAACTTTATCTGCGTGATGATTGGACTTGCCTGCTATTCCGACGGCGAGCTTATGATGACGTCACCCGCGCTCGCGCGGATGCTTTGGCCTACCTCAAGGGTGATCGCGTAGGCGACGTGGAAGAGGAGCAAGCCGTACGTGCAGAATCCGTCGTCGCAGCGTGGGTGCAAAAGCTCCTGTAGCGGATTTCTGCTCGGCACCGCAGGATCCTGGTTCTTCATCGATATCGCCTTCTGGGAGCTGTGTCTCAACAATTCGGCCATCCTCAGCGCATTGGCTATGCCTCTGCCGATAATGTGCACCTCAACCCGCACAAGATCGCCGTTGGCAACATCGTTTTGTCTGTTACCGGCAATATTCCCGGCTACTGGTTATCGGTGCTTCTAGTCGATACCATCGGCCGCAAGCCCATCCAGGCGCCCAGCTTTGTCACCCTCACAGCACTGTTCTGTGGTATTGGCTTTGTGTACTGGCACCTCTCCTCTGGCAGGCTTTTGGTACTATACGTGATATGCCAGTTCTTCTCCACCTCTGGAGCCAACTCGACAACTTTCATCGGTTCATGCCTCGGAGCTTTGAGCGTGTGATCTTCGCGCAACGGCGACACGTGAACAGTACCGGGCGAAGTCTTCCCAGCTCGTTTCCGCTTACAGTCCACGGCATATCTGCCGCTACCGGCAAGCTTGGTGCTGTAATTGCGCAGGCTCTTGTGGGCCCGTTGAATCATCGCGGAGGCGATAACCTATGGTTGAACCACGTAATGGAGATCTTTGCCTTGTTCATGGTTCGTGGCTTGGAACGACGTTCCTGATTCCGGAAACGAAAAGACAGTCTCTCGAATATCTCGCGTGGAAGTATCATGACAAGCTACCTCCGGACGGCGAGCAGATGCTGCCAGCATTGCCCGCCAGCAGACCGTCGTCACAGAGGACGTGAAGTAAGGTACCCTGAGGACGGAGAAGCTGTACGCTCCGTTGGAGCGTCATCCTGTGTTGTAACACTCTCATCAAATGATGGGTCTTTACCACATGAGGGAGTGTACAAGGCTTGAGGATTTATAGTAGTGCGAAATGTCCATACTCACCACGGCCTTCATTGCACTTTCCATGTGCTCTTTTGAGTAACCATCTCGATGATTGGCAAAAGGAAGCTATTCCAACGAGCACTCAGACCGTCTCTGCTCGAAAAGGCATGCTCTTCGTATTAGACACTATCTTCAATGGTAGACCGGAAGATCGTCATCCATCTGATAGATAATGTGTTAGCGTTCTATAAGCCCGGGTGACTGCACACGACGAAGGCAGCCTACGCGAATCTCCATTCCACTTACATCATCTCCCGACATATCGCGTGACGACTCGTCCTCCATCATCGCATACGTTGCGGCGACGCACATTTTGTAATGCACCTGCAGGGGCACCTCGAGGATGAAATCCTTGACCGACAGGCCATTGACTCTGACTCGAACTACAATGCTATACTGCCTTGATGCGACCGCGCTGCAGAACGAAGGGTGCAAAGATCCTGTGAGCTCCACCGGGATGTCGATTGAAGTTTTCCACGCGCCGAGCGCAGAGGGACCGTTAGACAGTGTTGTCGACAGTGGACTGCCATACTGTGTGACGGACGCCCGGTCGAATTCCATACAGGAAAATCCCGAGGCAAACGATCCAGATCCTACGGCGTCCTCGTAGCATGGAACGTCGTCGAAAAACCTAGCATGCCACGAGCTCGTCGAGAGCTCGACCTTGGAGACTTTGGTGATGGAATCATGGAGTCGAATTGGACCTTGATTGTCCACCATGTTTTGAGCTGGCATCATGGGAAATGGTTGTAGAGAGTAAAATGTCTTCGCTCGGACCGTTGGCTCAAGCGTGAAGCTGAGCCGCTTCAGGCGATCGAGCAGTTTGTTGTTTGCGTCTTTGGTAGGTCTCTTGTGGCGAGCGGCGTGTATGTCGACAGCAAGACGCAGCACGGTCGAGTACGCTCCCCCGGCACGTGCTTTGGACATCGAGGGAGGCTCTGCTATCGAAAGCGTCATCATGTACTGCTCGCCTAGCAATGAAGTACGAGATGCGTTGCTGGCCGAGGCGATGAAGTCGTCGCCAAAATCACCGATATCCACTGGCGGTGGTGCGTCCGAGCATGGCATGACAGCGATCTCCTTCTCGCCCGTGAGTCTCCGACTGCTGCCATCCCCAAACACTGCATCAATTTTGATGTGAAGACGGTAGTCGATCCTGGGCTGCGCGTATAGCCCGTTCCCATACCCTCGAAGCTCCTCGCCGACCGAGATAGTTGGGGGTAGCTTGAGACATTGTTCACGCCCCCGCCCAGTGCGGTTCATTACATTCGAGGGAATCGTGAGATTGAGGTTGGCAATGTATTCATTGCGCTTCGCATCTGCGTCCGTCGCGGGATTGGGAGTCACAATCTTCAGGCTTTGATGCAGGAACTGCTGCGTGTTAGTGGAGACTTACGATGCGGGATGCGCATGAAATTGCCGACCTTGTACGCGGTCCACTCATGCTTGAGCTCACCTGTCAAAGCCCAGACACGCGCGAAGCCTGGACGCTGTGAGTGGCCACTCTCCCAGCTGTGGGGGCTCGAGAAGAAACATACCAAGGAGCGATGCGAAGACATTTTCCACACAAAAGCTTGTCGAGCTGCTCACCACCACGCGACTGTGGATGAGGTCGTGGGGGCACCACATTCCTCCATCGCCTTGTTCGTGCTGTGCTCGTTGGCGATGAGGGTCAACTATCTCTACGCTCACCGTGGCGGGCTGCATGGTCGTATGCTGAACGTGTGGCAGGATTGTCTGGAAGTTCGGTGACCATGATTGCGAGACGGGTGACTCGACTTTAACGGATTACAGTGGTCGTGGTGAGTGGTCACATGTTCGGCGAGCCTGGTTGTCAATGGATGGGATGATCATTCCAAGGCCGAGTGCGGGGCCGTAGCAGTGACAGGCAGTGACAGGTACGGCAGTGGGACGATGACATCCCCATAGCGCGTGACTGAACAACAACCGAATGCACCCGAACGTTCCGTCAAAAAGGCTGGAACATGATCTATAATTCTTCCTTTATCGGGCGTTTTGAAGCTCCGCTTTTGCAGCGAGCCCATCAGATGCCAGCCACGTCTATCCCGTTGACAACATTGGCACTCGCCGTGGTCTTCGCATTGCCCTCCTCACCCGCCTTGTCCTCTGCCCCGTTCGCCCCGTTCGCCCCGTTCGCCCCGTTCGCCCCGTTCGCCCCGTTCGCCCCGTTCGCCCCGTTCGCCCCGTCCGCCTGGCACTCTGCCTTGCGCGACTTCTCCAGCCGCTCGACACGTTCGCTGGAGCGGTCATTGAAGAGGTCGAAATGCGATCGCATAATGATGGTATATTTGGCGAACTCCTCCATGCAGTCAACGACCCTTTCGCGGTTGCCGGACGGCATCAAACGACTACCACCCTCGGCTTCAACATAAGCTCCAAAGTCGTCAGGATTCTGAACCTCCGTGAACGTGGTATAGGCTTTGGGCTGTAGCAATCAGTTAGCAAGAATGCAAAAAGAGACCAGGGCAGGACAGTCGTACGATGGACGATTGGTTGGGTATTGTGAACCTAGAGTGATGGGTGTGAGGGTCAGCCACTCGTGCAATGGTCGTGTTGAGGAGTGGATATTGGAACATACATCCTCATCCATCTTCCCAGTATCCTCAGCATATTGACCGCATTGAAAGATTGCGAGCCGCCAGACACCTCGGCGACGGCAAGGGTGCGGCCTTGCGTCGGCCTCACCGAGCCCGTACTCAGCGGAATCCAGTCGATCTGGTTCTTGAAGACTCCTGTCTGGACACTGCGTTAGCGTAAGCCCTAGGAGCTACCGGGTAAGCGACATACAAGAGTGCCGTGCTGCTCGGGCGAGATCCAGACATGTCCGTCACTCCATTTGCTGAGCTCGCGCAACTCTTGGACCTTTGCGTGGTCGTGCTGCACATCGTCCTTGACAGGTAGACCCGTGGGATCGAAAATTCGGACATCACAGCCCAAACGGAAGAGGATGCGAGCGCACTCGAACGTCAGGAGGCGGGAGTAGGAGCTCCCGCAAGGTCAGCTGAGTCTGCGCGTCTACGAGCAGATTGAAAAACTCACCGTCTGCGCAAGCTGCCATAGAGCATCAAGACCCTCAGTCGCTCGCCCGTCCGCTCCATGTCCGCCTCAGCCATCTTGAGCGCGGTGCTGAGTTCGAGCTTGGCGACCCAGTCGCTGGTGGCGATCTCGTCTGGCAGCAGGAAGGGGCGGTATGCTGCACGAACGTTGGGGCGGTCTTCATCTTCGGGAATCGCTAGTGTGCGGCGGGCGTAGGAGGGATCGATAGGGATGACGGTGCTATGGCGGATCGCTTCGGTGTTGTTGAGGTCGCCATTGATGCGAGACAGGGCCGCCATGGACGCGGCTGCGCGGGCGTGGGGTGGTGGTGACGGGAGGCGGCAAAGCGCGGTCGGATTGGCGGTCGTGCTGCGAGCTTGGGCAAGAGCAATGGGGAGGACGGCCAGACGCCAGTAGCGAGCGTGCATCGACGGTGGTAAAAGACGGAAGGCGGATGAACGACGTGTGGACGGGACAATAAAAAGGTGAAAGACAGCACAGGCTCTTACCTCTGCATCACATGCAGGGACGGCGCTTCTTATGAGGCGCTTTGTACTGGACTTATGCACCACAATGCGTCTTCTTCATACTGGAGGCCAACGTGAAGTCTCATCGAAGACGGCGTTCGTGAAGCCGCCACGTCCGCCGAGCCAATCAGAGCTGCCCAGTGACATTCTGCGCTTCCCTCCCGCCAAGCCACGCTCCTCCCATTCTTCCAACAAACCACGTCCCGGCGGAAGAGGCCTGGAGCGGATATGATCTGTTGTGGTGGTGCAAACGACTACCGCAACAGACACTCGCACGTGTAGATCTCGACCGTGCTGGCATGGCCGCCAGGCCTGCTTGTTCAGCGAAGGATGGTGGTAGGGATGCTGGGGGCAGTATATAAGGAGCATCACCGCCCATCATCTTCTTCAAGACTGCAACCATCTACACTTCCGACACGATGCCTTCCGAGCCAGAGATTGAAGAACTAGAACTCGATAGCACGCCTCCTGATGGAGGCTACGGCTGGCTCTGCGTTGCCGCCTGCTTCATGATCAACTTCGCGACCTGGGGAGCTGTAGCAGTAAGCAGTCCGCTCCTTACTGCGAAGTGTGCACACGATCTGACCACCCTACCAGTCCTACGGTGTCTTTTTGTCCTATTACCTCGATAGCAACCGCTTCCCCTCCGCCTCCTCGCTCGACTATGCTCTCATTGGCGGCTTCAACTTCACCTTCGCCATGCTCGCCGCGCCATTGGTGACGGCGCTCACCCGTCGCTTTGGCAAACACGTCACCATGCCCATCGGCGTCGCCCTACAAACCACTGGCTACATCACCGCCGGCTTCGCTACCCACATCTGGCAGCTTTTCCTCTCCCAGGGAGTGCTAGTAGGCCTGGGTGTTGGCTTCATCTACACCCCCAGCTTGCCCATCTTATCACAGTGGTTCGAATCCCGACGCAGCCTGGCCAACGGCATCTCAAGCTCCGGATCCGGGTTCGGTGGTGCGCTTTTCACTTGGTCGATCGGTGCCATCATCGAAGCATTGGGAATCCGCTGGGCGCTGTGCATCACTGGCATCATCACATTTGCTCTCACCAGTATTGCCACAGCCATGATCCGCGATCGGAACATCTACATTCGTCCTCCGCAGTTGGCATTCGACACAACCCTCCTGGTACGCTATGACGTCCTGCTGCTGCTCGCTTGGGCGTTCGTGAGCATGCTCGGCTACATTGCGTTGCTATTCTCCTTGTCAGACTTTGCGCTTGCGATTGGATTATCTTCGCAGCGCGCCACCGATACCATCGGCCTCCTGAACATCGGTACGGCAATTGGCCGTCCTGTCATCGGTATACTGAGCGACAAGTCCAGCCGCCTGAACGTGGCCGGTGTGTTGACGCTGGTGTGCTCTCTGTTGTCGATCGCGATGTGGATTCCCGCGGAATCGTTCCCGCTGCTGGCAGTCTTCGCTGTACTGGCAGGTGCTGTACTCGGAGTGTTTTGGATGGTAATTTCATCATGGCATCGATGGTAGTCGCCGTGCGCGTCGCTGACTCTTTCGTCCAATCACAGACTATCGGTCCTCTCTGCGTCGAGGTGGCCGGGCTCAAACACTTGCAGTCCTTGCTCTCGCTCTCGTGGATCACGATCATCCTCCCCACCACCTGTAAGCTATCACAGACCTGAAATGCTTGTTCCCAGTTGCTAATTCTCTTTGCTGCAAGTTTCCGAGGTCATTGCGCTTAACATTCGGCGCCCGGATTCCGAACGACCGTATCTATATCCGCAGCTCTTCGTGGCACTATCCTACCTGGCGGCCAGCGGTATCATGTGGGAACTGCTTCGTGTCAATCGCAAGCAACGCAAGAGCATAACGCAAGAGCTGGTTGTAGACATAGAAATGTCAGATAAATAAATCTCGATAGACTGTGTTGTAAGAAGCCATCTCTACATGAGCAAAGGCTTTCTCTACCATCTTCAATGTACGTACGGCGCACTCTACGTCCACTTGGACTCATCGTATTCCTGCATGTAACGAACGAACACTCCCTTCTCGGCCACCCAGCCCTTGATGCCGTCGCTCAAGACAAGGCTCTTCATTTTGGCGTCGCCCTGTTCATTAAGGTAGTCTGCAAACCAACTAGCAGCGCGAGTTCCACGACCACGAGAGGACCCTGCGAACCGTCAGCGCGACGACGTTCACGATTTGCGATACCAAGATGCGCGCTCTCTGCTCACCACAGTACCAAATTACTTGGCGAACTCCAGCAGCGCTGAAGATCTTGTAGAGTGATGGGATGGTCGGATGGAGGCTCTGGGCTGGCAAGTTGATCGACTCCAGTATCGTACCGCCCTGGCAGAATCGTTAGCAAGTCATAGTGCTCATACATCTCCTGCCCGCAATTCTTGCCTCGTAATCGGTTCGTCGTAGGTCAACGAGCACGAACGCCGAGTCCGCCGTCGTCTCTGATTTGAGGAGTTGCAGTACGTCATGTCGACTGATGGCCTGTGGCTCGGAGCGCGCCGGAGGATATGCAGCGTACCATGGCTGCTCGGCGGTCGCGCTGGCGTTGGCGATTGGGGCTTGTTGTGCGGTGTCGGGCTTTGTTGTCTGGCTGTCCATGCTGTTGGTATTGAGCCGATCGACGAAGAGATGTAAAGGAGTGGAGTGGACGAGGACAGGAATTGGATTAGCGTTCTATGGAGCCGGCGTACACTGGTGGGCTTATCTAGTGGGAGGGCGAAGGCGTCGCCAGACAGTTCCAAATGTTGTAATAAGCAGACAGTCGTAGGCGCGGCGAAGGTGTGACAGCTCGAGATGAGAGTTTCCAAACTATCGCCGCAACGTGCGCGCACAATGGTCTTTCATTGCCCGGTGGCATGCCGTTGATGGAAGCTTCCGGAAGAAAGAATGTCACCGGGCGGCGGGGTGGTCTTTGCCTTCACACCTCAGCCAATCAGCGCGAAGCAGTGACATTTTGCAGTGCATCCAGAGCATCACCGAACCCTTTAAAAGCTGCGAGAGGAGAACACCGGTCAACTCTGCACAACCCATTGACAGACTTCCAAATCAACTACCGTCACAACATGGTCTCTTACGCGCAGGACAACCTCCGGATCCACCATTTACACCTCTATGATTGATATTTCCACTGCAGCGACATCACCGGCGGCTTCCACAATGACTTCCTCACGCCAGGACGACATATCAGACATATCTTCGCCAGCTGGCGAGGCAGATGCAACGCCACTCCAGCGCACCGATGTTGAGAAGCAGGACGAAGAGCGACTGAAGGAGGAGAACGTTTCCGCCTTCAAAGCCTTAGGATGGCTCGATCGACTTCTCGCCCTCTGGATTCTGCTCGCCATCATCATCGGTATCCTGCTCGGCAACTTTGTGCCCAGCACTGGACCAGCGTTACAACGTGGGAAATTTGTTGGCGTTTCCGTTCCCATAGGTAAGCTTCCACCTCGCGAGCTACTCCAGCATGCGTGGCCATTGCTAACATCTCTCCGCCTCAACAGCTGTCGGACTGCTTGTCATGATGTACCCGATTCTCTGCAAAGTACAGTACGAGACTCTACACCTCGCCTTTCGACAAAAGCAGTTGTGGATACAAGTCGGCTTCAGCATTGTGGTCAATTGGATCATTGCACCTTTGCTTATGGTGAGTCTGCCGTGGCTCTTTTCCCTATCACACCTACAAGACTGACACTCTTGTTAGCTTGCTCTCGCATGGGCTTTCCTTCCGGACGAGGGGAGCTTACGTGAAGGCCTGATCCTGGTTGGACTTGCCCGCTGCATCGCCATGGTCTTGATCTGGACCGGCATCGCTGGCGGCGACAACCAATACTGCGCCATTCTCGTCGCGATCAACTCGATCCTCCAAATGGTACTCTACGCACCGCTGGCCATTCTATTCATCAACATCATCAGCGGGTCTCAGTCGACGATTACTGTATCATACGAGACCGTCGCTGTCAGCGTTGCGGCCTTCCTCGGCATACCACTCGGCGCCGCCATCATCACTCGCTTCGCGCTTCGGTACATCGCCAGCCCAGATTGGTACGAGCGAGTGTTCCTCAAGTGGGCGGCACCGTGGTCACTTATCGGCCTTCTCTACACCATCCTTGTGCTCTTCGCCAGCCAAGGTCGGCAGGTGGTCCACCAGATCGTTTCCGTGGTTCGTGTCGCGGCGCCCCTGATTGTCTACTTCGTGATCATCTTCACGGCGACGCTGCTGGTAACGCACAAGCTGGGCTTCGGGTATAAACTTTCTGCTACGCAAAGCTTTACGGCTGCGAGCAACAACTTCGAGCTGGCCATCGCGGTGGCGGTGGCAACATACGGACCCAACAGCGACCAGGCTCTAGCAGCGACTGTTGGCCCACTCATCGAAGTGCCAGTACTGCTGGGTCTGGTCTATGCTGTACGGTGGTTTGCAAACAAGCGTGGTTGGAAATAAGACCAATAAAGGAGTAGCATGTTTTGTAGAATACATAGAGTCGAACACATTTTCGCGTTCCACGCTAACTGAGCTCATCCTGTTGGCCTTCGCTGAGATCCTGAAGCGCTTCCCTAGAGGGGAGCACTGAGCAAGACACGCACGTCTGTTGCTCCTCGCGCCCGTCTGTCATCAGATAGCAACCTGAGGCAGTACTACCTAGATCCACGAATGCAATGGTAAAGTGACATGCTTTACCCCTGCCAGTCTTCCTTCTCGAGCCGTGCTTGCAGTGAAGTGACATTCGCTGGTCGCCTGGTCCCATTTCCCATATATCGACAATACTCTTCTTCCGCTCGAGCTTCCCACGAGTCCACAACGACCAAGCTGGATAGTCCGAGTACACGTCATGGATACTCAGAGCAATGCAAAGCTTCTGAGTATACCCCTCGAGCTCCGACAGCACATCTACGACTACGTCTGTCACCTACCACCAGCCGTTGAGCTACACGCCAGAATGAACAAG